TATATAGATTAAAAGGCAAAATACTGAAAATGTGTGGGTGGATGTGTGTGTGTGTGTGTGTGTGTGTGTGTATGATTGTTGATGTTTAATACAACTGTTTTTATTATTTTGTATCACATAAGGAGCATAAAGCAAAACCATGTTTGGAAATAACTTACTCTTTTTAGCAACATCAAACCCATTTATGTTAATATACGAATATACATCGATAAAAGCCTCGTCTTCAACGGCTTGGAAATTTTCGAGCCGCAACCTTCCAATACGATTTTCATCTTCCGTTAGGTAATACAGACTGAAACAGGAGATGGTCTATTAGTCAGAAAGCATTAAATGCTCTTCAAATACTGGGAATAATTGCTTTAAACGTTTTTTGAGATAATTCTGGGACGTTAGCCCTTTAATGACACACAAATTCACACCCGAATCTGGATTGTCACCAAAATTTTATGATTTCATCCTTGAGCCGGGGCGGATCCAGCGATATCCAAAGAGGATGGGGACGGGGGTGGGGCACAAAAGGAGTTCAAAAAAGTGGATGAGCCGATCGAAACAACACTAACCTAGGGAGTTCGGGGGCATGCCCCCACGAATAATTTGTTTTATCGAACCCCGAAAATCTTTTTGTTTTTCATACACTTTCTAAACGGGGCGCGCCACCCCCCCCCCCCACACACACACTCTAAATCCGCTCCTGACTTGTAACTTGATTAAACTGTCGATAACATTTCATTCAAATCAGTTTATCAGTTTTCGGTATATCCGATCTGTGACGTTTCCCTTATGAATGGTCCTCATATCCACGCCCTACTCTGGATCGTCACCAAAATGTAATAATTTCATCATTGGACTATGACAACTATTCTGGAAAGTTTCATTCAGATCAGTTGATCCTTTTTTTCTACATATCTAGTGTGGGGTGTTTCCTTTAAATCTCTCTAAATGGTCCTCACATCCACACCCCACTCCGAATTGTTACTGAATTAGATGTGTACACTGGGCCTACGGTTTAAGTTCTTATCCGAGAATCTTGGACAAAGTTTGGAGACGATTCAAGCATGGAAAGTAACCAAAGTACCGGACAAAAAATACTCAGTGCATAAAGATAGGAAAAACGATTTAGAAGGAAAAAAATCAGAACAAAAACAATGGCTTTTTCAGCTACGGCTAGGAAAGTCAATTAAAATTATATAATTGTTCACAAACACAATAAAACTTAAAAACACTACGCAACCTACGTATTGCTTCCATGTCGACGCATATCACGAAATGCTCCAACTGATTGAAGTATTGGAATAGAAGAGATTCCATTAAAATGAAGCAGTTCGTTATTTTGTGTCCAGTATACATTCGGTCCATCAACTTCAATCGCCAGTACGTCAAAACCTGCATAATGGACAAAGTAAAACAATCAAATGCGTTTGGTCGCCCATTGCTCTCAGATATAAGTTTTTACCAAAACATAGTTTCAGTGGGTAGCCCGTCGAAAAAAGCTGATTGGGACCCTCAATAATAAAACACATTACAAAATATACAAAACAAAATTTAATGTGCTGAATATTAAAAACTATGTATATTATATAAATTTAAACAAACGATACAATAATCCAATCCAAAAATAAATAAATACAATGAGCTGGAGCTGATTATAAATACCGAGGATAACCCACGAATGTTTGAAGAAAAATTATTTCCAGTGGGAAAGTAATGGACATACTAAACACTTATAGAAGAATATTCCCTAAAAGATTTGCGTAAAATTAATGAATACAGTATTATTAATTAACACGCAAACAGATAGACAGAAAATTAGGTTTCCTCAAAAAGAAGTCCTTTACATAAAGGAATAAGGAAACAAAATCGTAAACAACAAAGCTACTGAACATTGAGAAAGTGTATAGCTTTTCTGCCTCAGTTAATCACTATTGTATTGTTTTATATAATAAACTTAAAGAGTGATTAATGAATTGAATCTTAAAATATACTTCTTTGGGTTTGTTTATCGTCAAACATGTTACACATATTCTGGACAGAATACCATGCGTAACAATAAGACGAAGAACCGAACAAAATGACATAATGGAAGAAGCGTCAAAAGAAGTGGAGATGGGCAGGACATGTGGTTAGGGCTAATGACAATAGACGGACAAAGAGAATAACCGAATGGATACCCAGAGAAGGTCAAAGAAAACGAGGAAGACAGAAACAGAGGTGGACAGACAACCTGAGAATGTACAATAAATAGTGGTTTAGAGAAACATTGGACAGTAAATGGTGGAAGACTTTAGAGGATGGGTATGTTCAAAAGTGGACTGATGGGCCCTGAAATACAGTAAGTAAAGTAGTATCGTCAAACAAGGTCTACATAATAGCTGAAAATAATATTTCATCAAAATTTTCAAATCACACTCAATATTACATAATTGTTCCAAATTTAGATATATTCAAATTAAAAAAATATATATATTTAGTTGAAAATAATAACCATAAACAAAATAATATATTTGATAGTTTATATTGAACCCCGATTATATAAAATAGATATGGAATAGTACTTAAATTTAAGATGAATTTAAAAGTTCATATATATTACGATTAAAGATGAGATTCAATTTTAATTTTGAAAGTGAGACCAAACTTATTTCTATATTTTCCTCCTCAAAATAGGCTTGTATATTTATTAAGTGTTTGGTTCAGCTTTTAGTTTACTGAAGATGACTGTGTGATACAGCTGAAACATGACAGTTGATATCTTGGTTTATTGCTTTTAAATTTGTGTTGTTTATTATATCCTGTCGATCGTTTAGATTGATTATTTACGATTTGAGTTACAAGACTTCTCAAAAATGCAGAAAAGCTGAAGCTGATCTCAATTTCTTGAACAATACATCTTTATAAAGAATACTACTATATATTTGTAAATAATTTCACTGCATCATTTTTCTATGCGGGAATATTTCTTCCCCTGCCAGAAAATAATTATGAAAGACATACTAAATATTACTTACTAATATTCTGAATAATGATTTCACTGTTACCACCATATATAGATGATCGTCTAATAACCCTTTCTGGTGACCCGTTGGCCCAGTAAACAAGCTCTGATTTGGAGTCATATGCTAATCCCTGAGGAGCATGCACGCCCGTCAAATCAAGTGTGCCATGGCGTTCTAAGTTAAAGTTGCTGTCTTCAGAATCGATCAGTGCAAACATAATGGTGTCTTGTTCAGGTACACTTACAAGAATTATTCTATCTGAATGATATATGATATAAAATGATATGATATAAATGATATATGATATTAAATGATATAAAATTAACCTACTATTAATCAAAAAACATAATGGTGTCATAGAGAATGACTTTTTGGAAGAGAGCCTTAATAACTATCGATATGTTTAGTTTTTGGTGCGTTGATGTTACTGATACAACGAAGAAATCTGTTAGTAGTTTTCTTTGCATTCAATATTAATGAAAGTGATGATTCAAAATTAACATAATGATTTATAATAATATTTATTTCTTAGCCATTTATTTTTTATTTTTGAAAAATAAGTATTTATTAAAATGTAGAAAATGTGGTATAGGCATATGTTATAATAGATGAACTGTTTTAGTACGGTAGAACATAGGGTATAATGTAGATGGTTATAATATAAATGTTTACTTGGATCAGTATATTGATTTTTAACTTAGATCTATTAGGTCCAACCAAATTTTACAATTCTATATGTCTATTTTTAAATTCATAAGATCGATGTTAAGTTAAGTTTATTATTAATGAAGCATCTCGATAATAATAAACATATGTTTAACTTACTATACACTGCAGAACTTATGATGAAATGGTGAAAGAAAAGGACAAAACATGAACCCAGCCTCATATCCAAAATTGTAATGTGATGTTACGCTTTTCACAACCTAGAAAAAATGTTAATGTAATATAATTAAAATTATATTTCATGTGTTTTAGCCTAATTAAGTAAAACTGTGGTATAAAAACAGTAATTGAGGCTGAGTAGCTTTGTAATAGTTTAACAAACAGATTGATTGCGGTGCTACGGGGAGGGGCTGGGGGTCTACAGCCCCGTCCCAAAGTGGTCTCGAATTGGAGGGTGAAACTGTAGGCCTACTAATAAAACCGTTCTAAGTACTTCGGATCGACTTTAAAGCTCTGTTCTCAGTATCAAATTTTATGTGACAAATATTTGAGATTTGCGCATATATGGGCATGATGATGTCATGGTACATCCAAATATGGGCAAATGGCAGTTATTTGTCACATATAATTTGGCAGTGTGGTCAAAGATTGGAATCAGATAGTATGCTTAATCTATTTATAGACTGGTGCGTAGTAGGTCTGTAAATTAGGGGGAAAAAATCATTATTTTGATTTATGGACTTTTGGCAGATAAATATCATTTGATCTTCTTAAATGAACTATTCATTTACACTTTCATTAAATCATAGTTTATTTTTTTTAATGTTTTGTTAATGCTACTATTTAAAGAGGGGGCACTGATACAGGTGAGATTAGGCGATCCTTGTGCAATGAAAGATGGCCATTGCAACGTCGGCAGAGGGATCAGTTCCTCCCAGTCAAACAAGCATGTTCCATGTCGTCTGAGGAAATAAGAGTTCACAACTGGATTGCAGCGACGTCATTTGGGTGGGGGGTGGGGTCAGGATGATTCCATACTTTATTAGAAAACATCTAATGTCGTGTAAAAATAATAATTTGCCATTCCAAAGTTATTGCGATTTCATTTTAAAATATATTCTTTACTATGGTAAACCAATAAACGTTCTCCCCCGTTACCCAACTAGAAATGTTATTCTGGATAACCGTGTGACAGAGACCCTATATAAAGTTCAAGGTTCTGATATTTTTTGGACTCCTTTAGGGCAAATTTTAAGACAATTTACTTTATTATAACAAGTTATAAACTGTAGGCCTTACCATCTAATTCCGAAATCCTGAATCCGCGCCGATTAGCAAATATTTCTAAAAACTTTGCAATATAATGGGCATCAAAGTGACCAGTTACTTTTATACGCTTGATAGACGCTATGAAATTTCAAACATAGTCTCCTTACTTCAATTACTCCAATACTTTATGCTAATCCATAGTCTTCCTTCGTAACTTATATATGATCAAGACGCATTGTTGGTGACCTAATATTTTGCCATAAAAAACTGAAGTCTAATTCATGCGTTTTAACCAATCATGGTAGTTTACGAGTCGCGCTTTTATCTTTTACATAATCTTGTATGACGTCATTTAATATCCTTGGTTAGTTATTTTCTCTATGGAACCCAATATTGCTTCATTAATTACCCCGATGTAATATCAAATTAAATTCGTATTGTGAATTTAAAATTGTATTACTTAAGTCAATATCGTTATATTCGGATTGCTAAACACGTCAGATGATTTGCTGTTGGATGTATGTATTTTTTTAAATTTTTTTATTTATTTTTCTTTTCGATGGCTTCATTCACCGAAACTGATTGTTTGATATGTTGTCATTGCGACTACTATTCAGGGGTCCGTCATGGAGAGCTGCCCACCCCTGAGGGGAGGGCAGGGATCAAAAAACCACAATTCTTCGGGGAGACAAAAAAATTGTTCTGCATATTAGTGGACTCTAAAATCGATTAAATAAGCCCATGAAACTCCCTAAATTGTCATATTTTTCTAATGCTTCGCCCCTGGACTACTTTCGAATGATTTTGTGGATGGTGGAAGTGAGAAGACTGTCCAGTAAAATAATTGTGGATTTGAAAGTTCTTGTGAAATGTTTTTGGCAATTGAAGGCGGAGCTGAGGAAGCAAACCAGTATATTCTGAAAATATCTCAAATCAAAAAACACCAGCCGAATATGTATCAGTGTCGATATTAACAATAGCCAAAAACAGCAGCAGCAACAACATAAGTCTATCATTATTATTAACAAAATTATATCACTAATAATAATAATAATAATCATATTAGTAATAACAATATAATAATATAATAATAGTAATACAGTAATAATAATAATAAAATAATAATTATAATAATAATGAAAATAATAATAAAATAATAATAATAATAATAATAATAATAATAATAATAATAATAATAATAATAATAATTGTCGATATTAACAATAGCCAAAAACAGCAACAGCAACAACATACGTCTATCATTATTATTAACAAAATTATATCACTAATAATAATAATAATAATAATAATAATAATAATCATATTAATAACAATATAATAATAGTAATAATAGTAATAGTAATAATAATAATAATAATAATAATAATAATAATAATAATAATAATAATAATAATAATAATAATAATAATAATAATAATAATAAAAGCATCGACTATGAGAATTCGTAATGCTTTTGGAGAATTACGACATTGTGAGAGCTCAATACAAAATTGTATTCCTGTTGTGTAGGCTAACACAACATTACTTATAAGTAAAAAACAATATTCAACTCCTGCTTTTTTACTCAGAAGATAAGAATAATAATGAACAGTGATTATTTTCATGTGACCTCGGTTGATTCTTAATATTTGGAATTTAAAAAATAATGTATAGACCTATATGGATTGAGAGACATATAGATGGATTGATGGATGGACGTTTGCATCACAATGGCAGAATGGCGTGTCGTTACTTCATTGTTGATTGATATGAGTTTGGATGTATAAATAGCATAATTTTAACAATAACTTCGTCTCTTTCATGGTAAAAATAACAAAAACAGGGTAATAAATCGTGGATATGATAATATAGATATAGGCCAATGTTACTGAAAGCTGAAATTAGCCTGAAAGACAGCTTAAGCTAATATGAAAAAGACCTTTCCAACCTAAAATTTAATATGTTAATAGTATTGTTATCCATAATTATTGCCAATTACACGTTAGACAAATGTATCCCAACTGATGTACATTGTGATTTACTCTTTAGAAATATCTACAAGACACCCCGAACACAAAACTCCTTTTCAGAGTTTAGAAGCAAATTATCATATAATATTGTCAGATATTCCTCATCACACGGATAAATAATTGAATACAACTTTGCAAAAGCAAACAACAAGGCGTAAACATTGACAGGGAAACATGCACATAGTGAAGTCCCATCCACTCTTCGTGTTGTTGTACCTTGGGATAGAAAATCTATACTACGCCTCCGTTGAGTCAAATCAAAGGAAGGATATTTTGGTGTTCTGAAATTCCTCGGGTAAAAAATAACCATGTTTAAAACTTCAATTTTTAAATTTGTTGAATCGAATACAACAACGATGATTAAAAAATACAACTTTGTCGAATTAATAACATAAATGATGTTTTAAAACTTGTATACTTGGAGTTACTAGTGATTTTTAAACTTTACGAATACGAGGAAGTGACGATGTTTGATACTCAAGAATTTTAAACTTTGGCTTTCTTACGATTTGTCTTTTTAAATTGGGATTGATTTTTTTAGTCTCTATGAAAAAGAAACTATGCACCACTCATACACGTTTTCAATCCATAAACTCTATCCATTACTCTATTTGTCTTGTCTTTTTCATCCAATACAAAGCCCAATATTGTTTCTTCTGTTTTCGTGTTTTGGTTGTTTTGGTAGGACCTACCCTACAGAGCTGAATATCCAGGGTGTCTAACAACTGACCAATCACAATAGGAGAAAGAGTACGCCATGTCCAACACAAAACCACATAATTATACGTACATTTTACACTGTTTTGTTGGACCTTCGGAGGAACACTATCCAAGGGATGGGTCTTTATTTCGTGAGTATGCAGTGCACAATAATTAACTAATTCATAGGCCTATTTATTGCTCCATTGTGTACCACAGACCTCCATATATCATATTCCCTTTGTGGCACAGTATGTAGACTAGTCTATTATTAATATCTACAAACCTGATTTCATATAAAAGGGCAATACCTTTAAAGTAATTTACCACATAATCACTACGCAATTATTGCCAATTACAAACTGAAAGGGTGTAACACGCACGGTTACCCAATAGAACTAATAGATTAATAATAATAATAATAATAACAATAATAATAATAATAATAATAATAATAATAATAATAATAATAATAATAGTGTAGTTTTATATAGCGCACATATCCATCTAACGTAAGATGCTCAGGGCGCTTGATATGTGGACTAGGAACTCGATCAATGACTTTCTTCGCCTTTAAGTGTCCCTTCGCGTCTGTGCTACCCAGTTACCCGGTACCAGCAACTCTCATCGTCCACCACAGGATTAATACAGAACAGTTAAATTATTCACTGAAGAGATTGGAGTTTACACATGCATAAAACAAGTCTTGTCTAGGCCTACCTACTAAAGCCGGGCACTCACTGCATCGCACGACAAATCCAACTCCGCTCCCTGTGAGCACTAGACGACGCAACCCCGTCTGCTGATTGTTGGTGGCAGTCTGAAAGGATCGTCATTAAAAACGATCCGTTGCGCGCGCATCGTCGCGACGCATTTTTCATATAATCGCTCGGCCGACGACCTCGGACGCATGCAGCGAATGCCCGGCTTAACTGGTCATTTATGTACTGTATATTTTTCAGGGCGGATTCGCGGGTTGGGTAAGGGGATGCTGGGGAGGGGGAGTGGCGTCTTCCGATACCCTACCCTTGAGAATTTAAAGTGTCCTTTATAGAGTAAAAAAAATGTATACTGATGTTGTTAAATAGCAAGCAGCTGACTGACTTTTTGTAGAATAAATTTCTATTTAACCCAATCTGTTGCATTAGGATCCTACTGTATATATAAAGTGTCTCAATGATGGATGGGAGGGTGACAAGACGTAACAAAGTTCAGAAAATATAACAGAAATGTCATTCTAATCTAATACTTAAGACTAGACCATTGAAAGGAGACACTCTAGGCGTTCAATCGAAGTACTTCACGGGCAGCAGTCACGGCGTCGTCTCTCCTCTGGTTTGTTCTTCCTCAGAATTGTCTTGTATATGTGTATCCCGGCTACTGCCAGCAAATAGCCTCCCACTTTCTTCCCCATGTGGTATTTTATGCCGTGAGCAAAAGTCGCTATACAATGTAGGGCCTATATATATACATTGTCGTCGTTGTCCTTGTTATTGTTGTTGATTTGTTGTTGTTGTTGTTGTTGTTGTTGAGTAGTTGTTATTATTATTGACGGTACTTATGACGCCAAAATAACAAAATTATGGGGCTGTATTAAGAACAGTTCTTCCTTGCCAGTAGAAATGGTCCTTTCTAGACCCAATTACTAAATCATCCATAAAGAACTTTCCTCAAGTTTAACCAGTGTACTTTTTAAAAGACAGTTTCACCTGTCTGGTAGCTTCGTTAAAAACTAGACTGCTTATTGTGAAATGTGTATGTTGGTTTAATTTGGAATTCCTCCATGAATCATATACATTGTAAAACCGAACCATTTACCCATTTAGTAAAAAAACAGACAAACAACATCTCATCATATGTAATATTTATTGATAGTTTTTGGCACTGATAAATAATGTTACCTTATCCAGGAATTAAGCATGTCATTAACACAAATGTACTTATATATCTGCTAATTAAGTGGTGTAGCTCAGATAAACTTTTAAGAAAAATAAATATTATAATACTATAAGGATGTGTCATAATTAATTTTTAAAGTTCTTTGTCTCACAATGAGTGGATCCTGGATTATTTGTTAGGGGACAGGGAGAGGTACACCTACCTCAGCCCCACCATGTGAGTATTGTCCCCTCGTGATGTTAACAAATATTTGTTAAATAAAATTTTTAATTTAGGCCAACTTACTAAGTTATTTTTCCAAAGTCATGGAAAATGTATGCATGTTGGTAAATTTATTATTTTTTTGTTTGGGGTGGGGGGGGGGGGGTGGTGGCTAAAACATGTTTAGCACCACTTCCCCCTCCACACACACTTTCAATCACCCCTGCTCACAGGCATGATACCATGCTTATATTTAAATTGAAATTGCAAAAGATGATTTGCAATATCACCCAGTTAAATTAAGATTCACTTGAAATTTATCATGAACACATACTATAAAATCGATAAGTTTTTATAAAATGAATTTTTATTCCCTCTGGCCTCACATGGCCTGGTATAGCTATTATTGATGCAACATAGCTATATTTACTGTGCCTGCAGCATGGTTTCCATAGATTCGCTCACTCTATCGGCAACAGTTGTCAGGAAGGTTGAACTTGGCTCAACTTTGTCGCCTGCGTTGCAGACGAATCGGGGTGCCTTCCCGATTGCTTCAGGGCAGCTAGCAATGCACCCCGATTCATCTGCAAGGCAATCGTAGAGGTTGAACCAGGTTCAGCCTTCCCGACATTTGTCGGCGACTGTCACCGATATGATGAGCGATTCTATGGAAACCGAGCTTTACATAATTGACTGATGGTGAAATTACATTTAGAGTCTATTCTAATTGGATTATAATGTCACCTTCACCAATACTATCACTGGGTCCAAAATGAACTGCCTTCACCTGCAAACAATAAATAATAATAATAGCAATAATATTTATTTATATAGCCCACTTTCAGATTTAAATCTGTTCAATAATACACTTTACATAAAAAGATGATAAATACAGTATTAAAATTTGCAACATATACAATGAATTAAAAAATGATATAATATAGAAAACTACAAAAATAAAATTATCATTATTAATTAAATTATTAAAATAATTTAAAATTTGAAAATTCACTGTTAATGAAATAGATATTATTAATTTCCTTACAAAATATTAACAATTATTTCCAAAATTATTAAAAGTAAACAAGTCATTTTAAAAATTTTAATTAAATCATATACATAATTATTAGTAATAGAAGTGGTGACTGACATAGAAATTTAGTAGTAGTAGTAGTAGTAGTAATAGTAGTAGTACCTGTAAATAGTAGCAGTAATTTTTTTAAATACTTTTATTTATAAAAATTCCAATAAGCAATACAATTATTTCCAAAATTATTAAAAGTAAACAGATCATTTTAAACATTTTAATAAAATCATATACATAATTATTAGTAATATAAGTGGTGACTGACATAGAAATTTAGTAGTAGTAGTAGTAGTAGTAGTAATAGTAGTAATTTTACGCAAAAATATGAATAATCTGGACCCATTTTCTTAAAAATTTACCCATTTTACGCAAAATATGAGAAATCTGGACCCATTTCTTTAAAAGTTGACCCATTTTACACAAAATGTGAGAAATCTGGACCCAATATTACATGTGGACCCATTCTTTGTGGCCCAATAGAAAAATTGTGTGGGAATGTCCCAACTGTCCAAATAGCTGGCTCAACATTGCTGGAGAGGCCACATAGCCACATAGTCATCATGGCTAGTTGCTATAAGTAGCCTCCCCTTAACTAGACTTATCTAGAAATATAGAGAATATAAGGTAGTGTAAAGTGCTGACGAAAGTATAAGGAGAGAGATAATTTGATGCAAAGGAACACTGCCAATGGTCAGCCTGAGTGGAGAGTATAGCTGGGAAACAGGTGGAGTAAGACCCTGGGGAAAAATTCATTGATTTTGATAATGTAAAGCCCTAAATTGTAACTACGGTGAACAGAAAATAAAATGGTGAAAATATGTATGTTTATTTTCCTATTATATGCTAAGATGACAAGTAAATCTCAACTTTTAAGTATAAATATTGCTTAAACAGGAGGCCAGTCATTCCAATTATTACATCATTCATAAAACATTGTCCATATACAAGGCAAATATAACAATAATAATATAGACATTAAGAAAAGATCTCTATGTGCTTCACATTATCATAAACACTATTGATTGGATTAAACACATATGGAACACAAATTCAGCTCCCGGGGGAGTATTCCATAATGTTGCAGCAGCAAATCAGAGAACTTGGACCCACTTATTCTTCTGGGGGGAGAGAAGCAATGCCTTGCTCAAGGCAAAAGGGAAATGCACAGTGAGAAATTGAAATCACAACCTCAAGGTTGGAAAACCAAACCGTTCCCACTGCGCCAAACCACTTCTACTGTGCCTAAAACACTTCTACAAAAAAAAACATAGAATTTAATTATTACCTGAAAGGCTACTGTATATACAGATTATGGATGATGATATTTGTGCTGGTTTTATTTTTCTGAGGGAGGATAGGGAAAGGGGGAAAGGCTCAAACCGAGGAACAAACTATTTTCCAACTACTTTCAACATTATTAGAATAGCTGACAAAAAAAATTGGTATACCTATTGATAATTCATTACGAAGTGGTATTAAATCGATACCTCTACGTGCTAATGTAATCTGCAGTAGGACTATAGGCAATAATTTTCTTATTGGAGTCATCTTATTATCAATCCATTTTGAGATAATAGACAAGCTCACATATCATGCATACAGTGGCAATCAACTACTGTACTGTAATCATAATCAACTGCAGCGCTATTTTCATTACAATAGGATACTCATTCATTACAGCACATGCAATAGCAGATCCACAATATATGAATAAATAATGTATGTATGTATATATGTACGCGTGTTGTGGGATTACAGCTCTATGATGTGAGCATCTGTTTCACATTAGAACTGTCACTTAGAGCTTGTACAAGCAGAGATCATCATCATGTTCATATCGTTAGTCTAAAAAAACTGTACTGTCGCCAAAATGTTATTAAAACTGAGTAATTAGCATAAAAAGGTGGCAGTATTGTATACTTCAGTACAGAGAAGCCGTAATACTTTTACCCATAAGTCAATTTCAATAAATGACCCATCATGTTAAAGCTTATATTGTGGAGTACAGTATAAGAATATATTAAAAAGTCAATTTTCATTTTTTGCTCAATGATGATGGTTTTGGGATGGCAAAGCCTCATATACTATTCATTTTACATTTTGTCTTTGGAAATTTCCTCCTCTTTGTCTTTCACCTATTCAAGTTATTCAATTTTTCAAGAAGGCCATCAACAAAGTACTTTTGTTTTCCATCGCACTTTAGAATGTAATTTAGCAAAGTATTGGTACGAGTAATTGCTGGTTTATGGTTAATGTAACTGGTTTGTGTGTTTAGAGTAACTAGTTTGTGATAAGAAGAAGTTCATGCAGTTCATCTGATTGTTTAAATTAATTAATAGTAATCAATTTGTGTGATTGGATGGTAACAGGTTTGTGTTGGTAACGCAGAAACCAGTCAGTTTGGCTGCTCGTGTAGTGAAGAGTAATGACGGAAATGGTTTTCTGTAGTTGACAGTAACTATGGATAAAAGTAGCTTTTTTGCAAGTGCAACGATTTAATTTTTTGCAGTCATATATGCAAAAAACACTTCTTTTCGCTCAGACAAGCTGGCTTCACATATAAATCTAATCAATATGCAGCGCCCAAAAATATTGGTCTTCTGACCACAACCAAAACAAAGATAAAAACAAGCTTTGCGATATCTGCCTTACATAAATGGCTCTTCAGTGTCAAGCATCATGAAGAGCTATTTTTAACATTGTACTTACATTATTCTAATTTACCTATTTGTTTCTTATGTCTGTGAGGACTGAGGCAACTTTTCTAACATTTAGGCCTATTCTAATAATACAAAAAAAAATTGTTTTTTTTTAACTTACAATCCCTGTTCTTCCAGCATAAAGACTGTTATGCATTTTCATGGCTTCGACAATACAGACCTCCTGTCCCTCAAATACCTGAAATTGAGAATTATTGATACTGTCTTCAATCTTAATATTTCATATTTACAAAGAGAACCCATAGCTCAGCTTCACTGTGCTGAATTGTGTATGGACAACTGGGTCTGTGACTACTACAGCTGCTGTAGAGAGGCACTTAGTATTTAATATTCACTTCATTCCACAATGACAGGGGTTGAAATGAAAGTGCATACTCTCCAGATGTGTACACTGGACCTACATTTTAAGAGCTTATCCGAGAAGACTTGGTTCTACCAAATGCACCCTGGGACTAGGAGCGGCTCGAACCAGCGCCAGCTGTAGTTAGTGGCACCCCTGCCTTACAGCTCAGCCACTCGACTCGCCATCAAGGAATTTAATTGGGAATTAAACAACTCTACAGAAAAAAGTTTTGATTGATATAACTTTTAAGCTTAGCTTCTAAAGACATTTAGTCATTTAAAGTAAGTACCATCCTATTACTTCAACAATGTGTATTTGTATAGTACCACCAGTTATTGTGAACCAATTTAGAGGGGACTGTGAGACCCCACTGCTTACATTTTTACTCAAAAATAAGTGTGAGAGTGCTATTTCTAGCCATCTAGCAGTGCCACATAAACAAAATTTTAAATATCTCTTAGGCCAAATTATAGCTTCCTCAAAGCAGACTTTAAAATAGCCAAACAGATTATTAGATAAAGCAAGACTTTTTGTATACAATTGTTTCGCAAACTTATTTTTTAAAGATCGTCAGAGGAGAACGAAAAAAAAAATCGATAAAATTTAGTTTTTCCAAAAACATCCATAGGAGAAAATAAAAATAAAATTGTATTGGTGAATGTAAACAGTGTAGTAGTGTGGGATGGTTAAATGCTTTAAATTTATATAATTTGAAAGAAATCTTATTTTTGGAGATTTCAAGGCAGCAGTGGGCGTATTAAATAAAAATTTTTTAAAAACTTTACTTTTTTTCTAAAATTTCCACTTTTTCGTGGCAGAGTGTGCGCTAATTGGCCAAAAATAAAATTTTACTTTTCTTCGAAATCATCAGTATTTGCGGCGGTAGGTTCTCTAAACAAGGTATGAAAAAAGTCTCTTCTAATGGCAGATCAGTGGTCTATGACTATAGACCAGTACTACTGTACATCACAAATATAGCACTGGCTCAGTGCCAAGGACTGTCTCTAAACCGCTTTATTACCAATCTTCCCAAGATGAATGAAAGATTGGGACTTTTTATTAGCTGCTACTATAATTTTAAAGCTAACCTAATGAACAAATTTTATGTATTCTCAAGCAACCAGGATTGTGTCTTAAAATATTATATTGTACTTTTCCTACCTAATTATAATTTTAATTAAAAGTAGCATTAGAATAGTATAACTTAATTGGTTGGTTTATTAATATTTGTAATTAGGAATTGAATTTGAAGTATCACTATTAGTACTAGCATTGAGAAAAGCTTTGAACTTTAGTGTACATGTACAGGTTGGTTATGCATGACTGCTCACATGGTGAACAGTTACAAAATGTGCTTAGCAACCAATCTAAATATAGAGTACTACGTTCTTACGTCACGATACCACGTGATTCATACTCAATCATCATATTTTATTGTCACAAATCGAAGTATACATTCAATATACAATATTGTAAGACAAAAAGACCAAAAAAACAAGCTTTCGCTTATCAAGTTTTGGCCTAGAAATTATAACTGAATTAGTAACAAGGGCAGAGTAATAATAATAATCATTATATATATAATAATAATTTAAATATCTTAATAATAGTAATAACATCAAATAAAAACAATAATACACAATTTAATATCACTGATGTGCCATGAAAAGAGCTCTAAATAAATGAAGATGTTCTTATAATTAAAAGACATACATTGCTAATAGGTATTGTTTAACTTTAAAAGTAAAATTTGTGCTTGACGAGAGTGTTTTAATATCTTCAGGCAGATTTTGGGATAATTAAATTAAACGGGTTGTTAAATCTTGTATTCTTCGAATGTGTTACTAATATAAAATACATATCAATGGTATGTGGTAATCTACAATAAAGATGATCTGATACAAACTGTAACATAACGGCATTTATATATAGGGTGTGGCAATTGATATTAGTTTAGCAGGCAGGTGATCAGATCCGGTAGCTTTACTTCTGTCAATAGCATTGAGTAAGTTATAAACTTCAGTTTGGGTAATTGGTTCTAAATAAAATGAATTGGTTACTGGCTGGGAAAGAAAATCGGAAAAAGTGTTAGACGATGCTGGGATTTCGTTTGCAAGATTTACAGGTATGTTTGAAAAATAATTGTTAAATTCATTAATAATTTGTTCGGTTGATTTTAGCATCATCTGAGTTCCATCACCGTTCTCATGGATAAGTTCATCAGGAAAATTACTGAATGATTTTGATTTGTCCTTTCCTAGAATATTATTTATAATTTTCCATGTTTTGACAGAATTATTTGCATTTATAGAAAATAAGTTTGAGTAATAATTTTTCTTTGCTGTTCTTATTAGTTTCGTTAGAGTATTACTACTCCGTTGAAAAAATAAGCGACCCAAAATGAGGTCAACCGGGTTCATTGTCTCCACTGACAAACCATTGATCCCAATTTCTAATGTAATTATTAAGACGTATCTTAATTTTTCTTTGTAAATTTTAATTGATGATTAAATATGTGTTCGATAAGTAATATAATGTGAGCTTTTTGTGTTTTTAGTATATTTTGAGGGTAATTTTATTAGGTTTTAAATTTCCTATTCTAAACCTTTAAGATTATGAAATCATTTAGACGTAATGACCGCTTTACCAACGCCTAGTTGACAACAAAGTGCTACACTTGCGTTGTACTCTACAATGCATAAAAAAAACTGCAACTTGTAGTTTTTATATATGGTTAAAATTTTGTCAGATGTATTTAGAACAAAATGCTATACAGTCACAACATTCAATGTTAAAGTTGTTAAATATAGACCTGAAAAAAAAAAATATGCTGCCTGTCACAAGATAAAGAATCTGAAAAATTAAATACCATTTGAACTGTTTATTTATATATTCCATTTATTAATTTTTTACAATCAAAATCTGATTGGAAAAAGTCCTTGCTAATAAAGCAAATTTAAAATTACTTTTCCAATATGCTTTTAAATACTGAGAAATCAAATCGACTGGTAATTAATTCTGTAGCAAAATGTCTGTATATCAGCGTAAATTATTATTTTTTTTATCTGTTATCAGTTAAAAGTTGAATATTTTTAAAAAGCTACTTAAGGTTTTGAATCAATTTTTGAGGTTGTTTTTCTGATTTTCGTTGGCAGGCAGTATATCTTAAAAAAACTAATTTCCATAAAATGTCAACCTGTAACATTGTGTTTTGTTGAAACACATTGCAAATTTAACAGGTCTCCCTCTAATTAAAGACCACTTTCAGTGGTCCCAAATTAACAAATGTCTTGTATCTTTATTATGCTAATTAGAGACCAAAGCTGCTAAAGACCATGGAAACCATGGTCACAAAAGTGGTCTTAAATTGGAGGGAGACCTGTGACTTAAAAGCTACCTTTTGTCCCACTTCAACTGTTAGACTGAACAGCTTGCCTGGCATTGGTGAGATCACCTCTTTACTGACATCTGGTTTCTTCTTCTCCGGCATAAGTGACTCTAACTCAGCAACTTCAGTGGGGACAATAGTTAAGGCATACTGTGAGAAGAAAATAATATGAGGGATGACTATTCTCTATTTGTGACCCCAAAGTTGCAGCCCAAAATTGTTCACACTTAAGGTTCATAAGGCCTCTGGTTTTTTAATAGTTTTATTATTTTATTAAGTACTGTACATTTATCTCTTTTGAGGAACGTGTTAAAAGTAAAAAGAAATAAGAAAAAAATGTTCATATATGTTTGTTAATATAGTAATTGTTATTGTTGTGATGGAATAAGAGACAATAACTGGATTTGCGTCAGGAGAAACATGTATAGGTGTAATTTTGCCCTACCTGACATGGAAATGTACCGAATACTTTTGAAAACAACTGCGAAAAAAATCTCAAGTTGTTCTCGGGTGGGACTGGAACCCACGATCTCCAGATCACTAGCCTGGTATGATGTATATTTGTTAATATAGTTAACGAATTGTAATAAAAAATACACGTGTTATTAATCATAAGTTTCCAAATAAGTCAAAATCCAAGGAAAAGCAATATCAAACCTCCATAAAGCAGTCTAATAATCTATTTAATTAGTTACATGTTTCAGGTTTCCAACACACAGAAACAAACATCACTTCATTTTATTTCTGATACAAAATGCGCACAACATAAATGGCATAAATAAAAAATATATACTGTATATAAAAATTACTATTATCTTTTTGATGTGTGTACAAAAAAAATATAAGGAGTCACACATTCAGGGAAGAAAATATTGTGTTAAAACATACAATTATAGACATAATCAGACAAAGCAGCTAATGCTTAGTCTAGACTATTAAGTTTTCCTTGACAAAAAAAAACTGATGTATGTCCATATATAGTCATGATGTGCCTATATATGGTCATGATGTGCCTATATATGGTCATGATGTGCCTATATATGGTCATAATGTGCCTATATATGCAGCTTGCCATCCCAAAAACCAACCCTAACCTTAACCCTAAATAATGAAAATTGTCTTTTTAATATATTCTTAATATTCCCCACATTATAAGCTTTAAAATGATGGGTCATTTATTGGAATCGACTTACTATTGCTAAATCTATGATTTTAAAAGTATTATGGCTTCTCTACTAAAGTACAGTATACAACTTTGCTAATACTCAGTTTAACATTATTATTTTATAGCAACAGTACGCTTTGGAATGGATGTGATGTCATCATGACCATATTTAGACATGCCACATGCTACTATCACATCAAATTTCATAGTGTGAACAGGTCTTAAGGAAATAGACCAAACGTTGTAGAATGGTATTACAAACTAGAACTGTTGAAGACTTATTAAAGCATTGGATGGACTGTGTGGCAGATTAAATTGCCTTAAATCTGATCTTGTTTTTTCAAGGACTACCGGTAATTGCATTTTGCATTCATCTTGAAAGAAATCACTAATTTGCACCTTTGAACGCAAAAACCATTGTAACATAGCTATTAATATAACCATGGGAAAAAAACCATTAATACAGAAAACAACTTACACTGGTTCCCATAAATTGAATCTTCAAATTCCCAGTAGCATCGTGAGAAATTAACTGCAAGAAAAGGATGAAATTAAATTCATATGAAAGTAAAAACGAGTATTCTTTATTATATAACCTCGTTAATATAAGAATGTCAGAGAATAATTACCTGAATAGAAAAAGACTGATTATCAACCTGAAGATCTAATAAATCAGAGCCAAGCGACCAGTTCTTGCTGACTGTTACTGTCTTGTCTCCCATGGTAACCTAGCAAAAATCAGTAAACAAACTCAAGAAATGGCTCAAAACTTTGTGTATTATTCCTCATTAAAATCTGTGCAATTACATTTTCCCTGGGTCATCCAAAATTTTTGAATTAGAAGGCACCAATTTCATATAGGCCTATAGATGTAACAGATAAATAAGTATTCAATAATGGTATGATTCATGTTCAGTACATACTGTTACAAAATATTGCAACATTTAGTATTTATATGACATTTTTTATTTTTTCTGTTAGTCACGACGGCAGAGCAAAACCTGGGGAACGTGCCCCTAAATTCTCCCTCCCTATATCCGCCCCTGCTGACTATATTTATAGACTTACCCCGAGTTCAGATCATGGGCTTTATCTAACATTTTCCTACTAAAAACTGCATTGTAGGTCTTTTTTTATACAATGTTTGCAAACTCGCCACCCATCAATAATGATGATTTTGAATAAAAATAAAATTTCATTTTTGGGCTATCAGTGGCCCCGCCGCCACGAAAAAAAATGAAAATTGCAGAACAAAATAAAATTTTTTCTCAATTTCCATTATGCCCGCCACTGGTTTCTGCTTAAACACACCACTCACCACCCACTACCGTTATACAAATTCTTTTATTCTTAACGCAATCCATCCACACATTAAAAATGTTAAAATATAACAATCTTTTATTTATTTTACTCTACTGTATATGTTTTTCAATACTTCATAAAACTGCTAGTATAAACTACTTTCGGTACCTTGTGTATTATCTTTTATTCAATTATCATAAATCAAATGTTTTAAGTACTAGACAACATGTTTATATACATAGGACATAATGATTAGGAGATCATTATTTTTTAAGAACAGACTAAAAAAATATCTTGGCATATATTCCAACATATCCATCACATAGATGAGGCTGCCAAAAAAGGTAACAACAGGCCGATCCATTCACAGTGATTAATCTCCCTCTGTAAACGCTATAAAGGAATTTCTTATGCATCATCTGTTACAAAATGATAGTGTATACAGTTTGTTTTATCATAATCTATTGCTAATATTATGGACCTGACATGCATGCGGGGCATCGAAGAGGTCCCCAGCAATGGTGGTCCCAATTGAAAGTGCTCTTTTACTACACTTTAAATATTTATAATATTAAGATACATTTATTTTTCACTATAAACATTTATATGAATTACGAAAGGTTATTATTATACAGGTTGCTGTACTTTAAATATTTATTACGATACATTTATTTTTTACTATAAACATTTATTATGAACAATGATCGAGTTACCTAATGAAAATAATGTGTGAGTATAAAAGAAAAAGCCCCAGGAAAGGTTGCCAAATGCTCTCTATGTGATTTAGAAAGGAAAACTATACTTATGAAAAATATTATCTTTCATATCATTACAGGATAAAATTATGGTGGTAATTTTGTTTCATCAAATCATTATATATATACGACTGCAATAAAGTTCAATTTTGAACTTGAATTGTAAACATGGCCTTGGTTCAAGCAATTCTTCATGTTGAAGAAGATATTAAATGTCAATCATTAGGTATGCAAGCAATAACGTATTAATGGAATTTATTTTATTGATTTATTGAAAAAAAGAAATCTTCCACTGATAAGAAATTCGTATACAAAGTCAAAAAAATTGATAGAGAATGGTTGAACAAAATATTTACAGGTACTATACATTAGTCGTCTAACAGCCGTTCAAATAAAAAAAAAACTTCTAATATTAAGGCTTCTATGCGCTTCACTTTAGAAAATAAATGAATAAATAAAAAACCAAGTAAATAATACATACTGCATATACTGTATACGGTAAACATATAAATGGCACAGCAAAACACAGAATCTTGGAGGGGTCACCTTCCGCAACCACCTCCCCCTCCCCCCACCCTCCAACAAGGAAAATACTTTTAGTGCGTTATGTGCTATAC